TACTTCAGACATCGCCTTTCTCTTATGATCAAACTTTTCGATCATTGCATGTCTTTCATTGCCATTGTCTATATCCATAGAGGTCTTGAAGGCAGATTCACCAATCAACTTTGCTTTTCTATTGCGCCAAACCATTGTTGATTCAGCAGCAATAAGCATGTAGGTGAGATCTATAAGGTCACGTCGTGGTTCATCATATAGTACTCTCTTACGAACTCACTATACGAGTTAGGAAGTGACTGAAGAACCCAATCAACAGCCATCGCTTCACCGACAACGGATCCCATCATTCTTAATCTATCAATGTGTGACTTCATCCCTAAGACGTGTGCACACACCGACTTGCCCTCTTTATGTTTACTTGCCAAAAGGGCTTGAGTGATATTGAACCTTTCAATTTTACAATCTTGTGGGTTAGGGAGAATAATTGGAGGAGGAGGAGGAAGTGAAGCATGATTTCTTGTTCCTCGATCGAATCGTGGAATATCATCTTCATGTGGAATGCTTGTTCCACGGGATTTGAGAAGACCATAGTTGTCGAACTTTGACATCGGGAGAAAAACGAATTCAAGTTAGTTGATTGATTGAGTCCTTGGTAAATCACCCAAATGAAATTCCAAGGCTAGGACCAACACAATATCCTACAACTCGGGAGAGGGATGCCGTAACCCAAATTGCAGAACATTTGAAGGTAAGTGAATGACGATTCACTAATTTCCACCATGAAAAACGAAAAAGAAATTTAAGTTTTAAATCTATGAAAACTCCTAGATCCTTTGAGATTCATTGAACATTTCAATGGCATGTTTAAATCTCGATATGCCCCTCTTGTTTGTGACTGGGATGCCGAGGATCACAAAGCGGGTGTGAATAACCATGCAAACTACATGGTGCCCTCACATGTTACAATCACCTATTCGATGTGCCGGTAAACCACACACGCTCCACCGAACTATGACAAACATTGAGTCACCCTTTGCTACCTTTGCTTAGAACCATTTAGTGTGCCGGTAAACCACACACGCTCCACTAACGTCTTCGCAAGGGCACAAAGTGTAATTTCATGGAATTGCATCAATTCACTTTTGCCTAAGTAACTAAGATTGGGAATTTGAAAAACATTTAGTTACTTTGTATTTCATTATACTTATAATGGAAGGTTTCGTCCTATCCTACCCGTTCGGCTAACGACCCTCCACTAGTCAAGAGTGCGGTGGGTAAGAGTGGATACCCATTCAATCGCCATTTTATAGGCAATTTCCTTAAACACCCCTTATAGACCAGCTTCGTGAATGAGGCCTACTAACGGTAAGACTGACTTTTACTCATACATATATATAATGTTAGACTTTTAATGTTATATATAGTATAGGGTGTATTTTATACTTTTAAAATACTATGTGGTTAACTTTAACAATTACACTTTTAATTCAATTAAATGGTTAACCTAAACTTTTATGGATTTATTAAACCTCTTTTAATTATACTCCTTAATTAATTAATAAAACCATAAGGGTGTGATTTGAACTTTTCAAAACATTACTAGGGTTTTAGAATTTAACATTTCTAATTAAACTTTTAATCAACTTTTAAATTCCAAAACTTGATGGCAAATTTTGAAACCTTTTTCAAAACATTAGGGTTTTAACTATTTAAATTTCAAAACCAAAACTTTTGGGTTCAAATTTAAACTATAAAACCTAAAGGGGAAAATATGAAACTTTTCATAACAACAAGGATCAAATAACAAATAATCTAAATTAACATTTAATTACATAATTATCCATATTTGATTTGTTTAATGATTTCTTGCAAAACAATTTATCAATTTACTCAAAATAATTAATCAATTATCTTATAAGGAAACAATTATCTTGTTAATTGATAATTATCTTTAATTAGATCAAGAATATAGTCATATATATCATAAAATCGGATTTATATTGATCTAACATGATAAGGTAACTATCCATATGCAAAAACAGCAAGAAATCCCGAGATAAACATTATCTGACGAGTTGACTCGTCGAGTCAGGAATGGACTCGTCGAGTCTGCATGGACTCGGCGAGTTCAGCCATGGACTCGGCGAGTCCAGCCTCCAGAATCCAAAAAATCGAATTTTTCAACATATAATGCATCAATACAATTGAAACCAAGCTAGGCTTTGATACCACCGATGGGTTTTGGTCATAAGACATCCTATGTGCTCATACAAACCCTAATGCTTGGATCTAGGTTTCTCTATTGTACATGTTTTGAATCCAAGACTATAAACCCTAATTCTAGCATACATATAATCATATTAACATGAGAATAGGTTTATAATGTTACCTTGATTGTTATGTAGCAATAACAATCCCAAATCTCCTTGAATTGACTTTGGAAGGCTTAGAGTCACAAGTGTTACTCCTCTAATGGTTCACAAACACCATAAGCAAGAGGATGAAGAGGAGAGAGGATGGAGGCTGCCAAAAACGTGTGTAAACCCTTACAAGAACATTAGCCACGTTTTTTAGCCTTAAGGGGTCTTTATATACTTGGGCTATTAGGGTTATCTAACAAGGAAACCCTAATTTGGATGCTTAAGCCCTAAGCAACCCATAGACTCCTTTAAATAAGCCCATGGACGATTTCCTTATGGGTTTCCCATTAGAATTCGTCCATCCCTTAATACAAGGCAATCCATGGCCCAAATTGCAATTATCCTATAATTACAATTCCAGTCCCTTAAGTTTAATTAATCTCTTTTAGTCACAAAACTAATTACCAATTAATTATTGACTAATATTAATTAAACAATATGATTTCTCCTTTAATATATTATTCTCATAATACATTAATAAATCATATTTAATCCTTACTCTCCATAATTCATCATATCAAGTTGCTTTGGTGAAGGCAACCCAAAAGGACCATGCACCATCGGGTCAAGTACATACCAAAATAGTTATGGACTTAGACACTAATCCAACAACCCTACCTACCACGTAATTTACAGCAGGTTCGTCATCTGCTAAATTTTCTTGTTTTACTAGTCTAAATCCCAAGACACCATTCGTAAACCTGAATTCAATTTCTCTAGTGATTTTTCAATGACACCTCATATCATAACCACACGATGAGGTTCTTGAGCTTATTTTCATACATATAAATGACTAAAGCACCCTCACAGTCATAATATCTCCGAACAATTAAACTTTTCACCTCTATAATATAACTAATAAGGAATTAAATTATGTATACATATATACATACTTATCACCGTATTGCATAAAGAAGTCTAATGGTTAACCAACTTAAAGCCACAAAGTTGAGTCAACTTAGATCTCTAATTTTTACCCATCGGTTTAAGTTTAGAAATCTAGTACTTAATACCTAATTCACTTAAACCATGACTTTGATACCAACTTGAAACACTCGTCTATTCAACATACAGTACACCAAGAAAATTTCATCATTTTTGAACATAACATGGTGTACGTTTACATTAAATCACAAGTACAAATAGTTATCATAAATCCTACATACAAAATATGCCCAAGGATCAAACCGGGTTTACAAAGTCTTACAACAAAAAACATAAACTAGTCTTAATCATGTTCACTCCAAAACACCTTTCCTTTTATGATTCGAATTTCCATCTTGTCCTCTTAAACTCTGATTTCTGAATAATGCTTCATAAACAAATGATTTATCCTGAATGAAACTTTATTAAGAATGGATGTTATATTATTTTAAAAAATAAAAATTTAGTCTGGGTTTTTGGGATGTTTCAGTTACCCCAACTATAGAGATGATGTTTTTGAACAGAACATGTACTTCATTGGTGTTTTTTTGAACATATGTGTTAGTTTTATGGTTTTTCTTGAACATGTAATACCCGAACGATGTTTTTCGAATAAATTTGAAACTTTGATGGTCTCCTAAGTCATTATACCTTATTTTTCATCAAAAACTTCTAACCTTGAAATTTCCCTAGGCCTCATCCTTATTTTTTGTAATGAAATCCAATAGAAACTCAAATAGTTATTAATAATCGAGAAAAATACCTCACACCTCTTAAATATGGCACCAGAGAGGGACCCAATATTTCGTATATAAACAATCAAGGGATAATTTTAGTCCAATGAGTGTCTTTTTATAAAAACAAGTCGATGTTGCTTCCCATAAGCACAATGTTTACACAACTTTAACTTTGTTGTTTAATGGTAGTAGGAAATACCTCTTACTCAAAAGTACCATGTTTTTTTTTCACATATGTTATATGCCATGTTAAATGGTCAAATATCATATGCCACAATCTTGTGATCTTTGGGTTGGCCTAAAGAGACAGCTACCGAGCCCAAAACATTTCACCCTTACCACATACAAGGTCAACTCTCTATATCCCTTCATAACTACTAAAGCCCCCTTTGACATCTTTAACAACCCATTTTGTCTACATGTACCTGAACCATTTAAGTTATATAGTACCTAAGGAAACCATTTCTTACTTAAGCTCGAACACGTTGCCTTTGTGAGTGTCCTCATTACCTCATTGCGTAGAGAGGAGATTGAGTGTCACCCTACATACCTTTGCTCTTATAGCATTTTGTTATGATTTGCGGAAGCCCAATCCAAAAACTTAAGACTAAATTCATTGAGAAACTAACAATGGAAAAAACTAATGAATCTATATTTACTTGTTTGATGTATCCGAATATTGTGACAAGAATACTAGTTAGGAAAAAAAAGTGTGAAAGAGTGATGTCCTATAAAGAGAAGTCAAAGTCAAACTTCATTTGATTTTATTTTATTCATACATAGCCACATAGGCCCCAAGACAAATGTTTAATATCACACTCTTCACATGATCAATCACAGAAATTGCATACCGAACGAGATTCTTCCACCTTCGTAGCTCTAAAGTCTAAGACCAATTTGTTATGCAAAATGTGTGTAAACATGTTTGTGAAGGAATTAGAACAAAAAATAAAAAAAATGGACACCAAATTGGCATGCATGAACTGGGTTCTCTTATTGCTTTGTGTATGTATGCGTACAGAAGGAAACAAAGAATAAAACTGGGAAAAACTCAACACTTGAATAATGAGATAAGCCAATCTCAAATTCATCACGACATGCATCTATATGGTCAAAGTCAAACCAGCATTTGACTTTATCTACAACTAAAACCCATATGCTTTGTATTTACGTCACCAAACACACACATCCATTGTCATTTACACAAGATCTTCAAATTGCATCTTCAGACGTCACTTCCCTCTCGCTATCCAATTCCACACCTTTCAGTTTCAGTTTCAGTTCATCTGTACATATCTTTAGAGCATCATGCTTCTTGTTCAGATCATCAACCAACTCACACTTTTCCTTAAGTTCCATTTCCAACCTTTCAATATCGCTATTCATTCTATCCTCTTCAGTCGCATGAGAATTTTTTAGTAGATCAATCTGGGTACTCAGTTCTATCATTTGTTCATCTCGCTTTGCTATTTCAGTTAGGCCTAACGCTACTTCCTCATGCAATTTTAGATTCTGAGCTTCTACTTTATCATATTCCGTCTGTAAACGACCAGTTATGCCGAGAATCTTGTTAGTCAACTCATTTTTCAGATTTTTATTTTCTTCGTCCGATTTTATTACTTGCTGTCTGGAGGCCTCTAGAACACCGAACATTTTTTCATACCTACGATTTGTCTCAGCAATCGTAACTTTAAGCTCAGCCGCGTTAGCTTTCTCAGCTTCAAGAATCGCATTTTCGTCTGTTAAATCCTGAATCTTTTTCTTCAAAGTAAGCTGTTTTTTTTCAAGAGTTGAAATCTTTTTGCGTAACACTGACACGTCAGGCTCAGGGTCATGGACTTTGGTTTCTTTCACTTTCGATTCAACAGTCTTGAGTGGTGGATTTAGCTGCTTCTTGGTGGATTCTAACTGATCGGGATTTGATGATAATGCGAAGGAAGATTCTGAGCCTTCTCTTGTAGAAAAACGAAAACCACCTCCACTAGTGTCTAGAGTAAATTCATAACCAACAGGTGTCTTGAATTCAGGTGTTTTACTCATTTGAGGAGAGGTTGAAGTAGAAGAATCAACATGCTCTGTTTTGATAGGTGTTGTAGATTTATGAGTGTTCTTGCTCACTTCTTTAATCAAATGAACATGTTCATCAGCCAACGCCATGTGCATGCGAGATAACTCTGTAACCATTGTTGTCAATTTAGGCTTCTTGAAATCGCCAATTTTGGGTAAATTTTCATCTTGCTCAATCACGTTAAGGATTTCTTTAACACACTGCTGGAACCCTAATTTCCAAGAAATTTCAAGCTCAATTAGCATATTGGTTTGTTTAGTGATAGAAACATTTTGTAAATTTCATTTTTCAAGTTCTGTAAGGATCTTACCTTCCACATTTTCGAAAAGGAATGAAGAGTTTTCTGGCATATTTTGACTATCCTGCCCTTGTGAGTGTGATTTTGCTTTGTTCTTGTTGACTTCTTTAATCAAATGAACATTTTCATCAGCCAATGCCCCATGCACACGTGATAACTCGGTTACCAGTTTTGTCATGTTCGACTTCTTGCTATCGTAAAATTCGGCTATTACTTTGGAGAATTTTTCATCTTCGTCGATCTGCTTAAGGATTTCCTTGACACATTGCTCGAACCCTAGTTTCCCAGAAACTGCTCATTTAGTATATGGATTGAAATGTAAATATTCAAAGATTCTTTACAAAGAACCAATAGACAGCAAATTCATGAGAAGATGGCTATACATGTTCTGTAAGGATCTTACCTTGTACATTTTGTGACGTAATCTGACTATCCTGCCCTTGTGACTGTGCTTTTGATTCGTCGCCTTCCATATCAAGAGACCAACTGCCCTGCAATACTTGAAACATCATAGCATAAGACTAGGACTAGCTTCCGACCCTTTAATTGCGTCAAAACATTCAAAAGGGTCTTGTTTACTTGCACATAATCAATAAAGATACAGTTTCTGTTGATTGGGAACTTCTTTATGGTTGCTTGTTATCTAATGCATCAACTCACAAAAATGCAAAACCAACAGAGATGTCAAAACTCAAATAATTCACGCAAGTAAAGAAAAATGTTCATGTTAGAGGTCACCCGAAAAACATATTGCAACATTGATAGAGTATAGTTAGCAACTGGGGTGTTACTTCTGTGAACCCTGTTGTAAGGTCTGTTTTCGTTTACTCTGTTTTGTGTTTCTTGATCGTTCTTGATTGATTAGGTTGTTTGAATCTGATTCTTGATCATCATCACCATTTGATTTCATCCAAAAGTTCGATTAGTCTGAAATTTTTGCACTGAATTCAATTGTAATCCCTACACTTCAACAATAGTCACCTTTCATTCTACCACATAAGAAAACGTCAATGAAGCAAAAACTTAAAATCATGGATTAGATACAATTCAGTCATATCTAACAGAAATTGTGCAAAACAGAATCATAGATGATAATGAAAATTACGAAGATGAAATGAATCACCGAAATCACTAATCACTACTAATCATAATCAACATCTTACATCCAATCTTTCACAAGAAATCAATGAAACCAAAATTGAAGAGGAAAGTAGCTTACGGATTTGACTAACCTTTTCACGAAAGTGAAATTGATTCGAAAGAAATGATTTACAGCTACAAGAATCACTGTTGCGAAGTTCAAAGCTCTTTCGGTGTGTTTGAGAGAAGAGAGAGAGAGAGAGAGAGAGAGATGCTCTGAACAGGAGAAGACCGGATTTAATGGACCGGATGTTACCCGCCTTATTCCCGCTTAAATTTGTAATGACTATAATAACCTTCCGCTTTTGAGAAACATGTACGTGATTTCAAAGAAGGCGGAAGGGTATTTAAGTAAATCAGATGGACTGCAAATAACTGCCAGACCCAAATGTGAACGGAAAAAATGTGCAAGGGTATTTATAAATTTTTTGGAAATTAACTTATTAGTCACTAGCCAAACATTCAAAATGATTTCTATGAAAAAAAAATATAATAAAATACCAACATAACTTTTCATTTGATCCGGATTCTAATTATTGATAATTTTCTTTGAAACATTTCAATTTACTGTAACCTGGTTACACCTCGCTAAATAGATACTTATCTTGACCTTTAACCCAGATAGGTAACATGAAAACTTAAATGGTGTTTGATCCAAATTTGCCTTCAAAATTAGGAAGTCATGGTATGTAAACCGAAGCATCAAAAATTAATAGAATAGAAAACCTCAAACAATCCACCAATATTTTTTTCTTCAGGTAAGAACATGTTGAAGACGCTCAATCAAATCTATGAAAAATCAGACGAAAATTTCCAAAGGTTTTGCAAAGAATGTGATGCAAATAAGAATCTGATTGTTAGTTGTGGCAATATATTCAGTTCCAATGTCATCGTGCTCTGTGAAGAATCAAAACCATAGCAAGTCTTCACCCTTAAATTTCTCAAATCTATGGTTGAGGAACGGAAAAGGTGCTAGATCATGTCGTCTATGATGCCTTACACCAATTTTCCTTATCCAACAAACACCTTCCCTCTCTGCCACCACACCTAGACGTTGTTACTGTTGCTTCTTGCCATCCACAATCTCCCACAAACAACAATAAAATCCTCGCTTTTGATTCCCCCTAAATTATTATATCTTATTATTTTAGTCCTCTTGTTTCTGATGAAATCCTCCTCCGCATCCCCTCGAAACACCCAAAAATATCACAAGGAAATCGAACTATTTAATATCAAAACAGTGGTCGAATCTCTAAGGTCATATGGTAAAATCACTTAGGGTTTTGGATTGGGATTTCCTTAAATTTGCTCATATGTTCTCCATATTCCCTAACCCTACACATATTGTGTAACATCCCAAAAAATTTAGACAAAAATTTCATTTTTAATTTATTTCAAAACATTCGGTAATCATGTCAAACAACCAAAAGTGTATCATAGTGTAATAATATCAGAGTACAAATACCAAAATCACATAAGGCGAAACACATGGGCGGATGCGGTGAGATCAAGTTGGGCTCTTCCCTTTAAAGTTGGAAGTACCTGAAACATAAAGTGGAAACCCTAAGCACAAAGCTTAGTGAGCTCCCCCAAAATACATCATACCATACATACATAACTTTCAAAACATAACTGAGTCTATTTCATCCCCTGCGGTCTCTTTCAACCGGTACTAGGTGTATTTCACCCCCATTCGGTCTCTTTCAACCGATATTGGGTGTATTTCAACCCATTCAGTCTCTTTCAACTCGTATCGAGTCTATTTCACCTCTACAACTAGCATATAATCATAACAGTAAGAGTCACAGAGACAATAAACATATATCGATAATACAATAAATTGTCATGAAGATAATTATCATCCTACAAACATAATCCAGTGGGTTGGCATTGGTGCCTTTGACCCACGAGTATAGTGGAGGAAACTCACCTCGTAAAGCAGCTCAAAAGTCAATATGCTCTCAAGATCCCACAACAGGTGCTAGATACCACCTATCTAATCACACAAGGCAAGACCTTAATCTATCTACTAAGACATTAAAAACTAAACAAAATCCACAAGTCAAAAGTCCACCTTCAAGGTCAATGGTTAAAGTTAACATTCGATGTTGACTTCAACCGACCGCCACAACATGGTCTTCCTTTGCCACACCATGGTCCTTATGTGATCCAACAGGCGGGAGAATCCCAACCACCACATCATGGTTACTTAGGACCACGCCGTGGTTGTCGAGGTTCCCATAGCTTAATGCATTATGTTGTTTCCTTCAATTCCAAGAGCTCCAAAGCTTAGATCTAGACCTAAATGTGATCTAAAAGGATAAAGTTTCCAGCTTTATCCATTAGGACCATCCAAAGGTCCAAACAAGTCTTAATAAGGCAAGAACTTAACCAATTAGCACTTATTCCAAAAGGTTCGAAATCCATCTTTTCCAGAAGTGATTCTAGCACCAAAACTAACCTAAAAGTCGGTGCTTTATAGACATGTATGTCCAATGCATTTTGTGAACCCATATTAAGTCGAGATGAGGATTTACGACCTAAATCTCATGCATGGCTTGAAAATTCCAACAAACTACAAATGTAAAGCACAAAATATACCAAATAACCTAGAGATTCATAAAGTTGCAAACTTTATGAGATTTCACCATTCCAACAAACAAGAACAAGGAGTTTATGGGACAAAACTCAAGATCTAGCAACCTAGCATGATAAAAATTGAGTCTTGGATACTTATAAAGGTCCAAAAGAGTGTTAAGGTGAAGAATGGAGTCTTGCTTGCTTGATCTTTGCTTCTTTTTTCCTTCTCTAGCTTCACAGACACAAAAACTAGCTCAATAATGGAGGAGAGTTATTAGGGTTTCTTTGGGGATTGAGAGAACTGATGGAGGCTAAGGACGAGAAAACCCTAGCCTCCTCATTCCTTTAAATAGGGAGCAAACCCCGGAAAAATAGGGTTTGTAAGCCAGCCGCCACCATGTCATGGTGACCTGAATAAATACGTGACTCCCAATCGCCTCGCCATGTCGTGATGGTGCCTCCACCATGTCGTGGTAATTCTAAAATGACAAGTTCAAATACATAAAAAGGTACCTCACAATTAGTGCGTTACAACTCTCCCCCACTTGGATTAGACTTCGTCCTCAAAGTCCGTTGCCTCAAACAACTTGAGGTAATGCTCTCTCATCTCGTCCGCTGGTTTCCACATCCATTTTGAGCCCTTTTAGTTCTATCATTGTACCTTCATGAGGTCTACAACCTTATTCCGTAGAGTCTTCGCCCTCCTGTCGAGGAACGCCACCGGTCTTTCTATATAATCCAGACGATCATCCATTTGAATGTCCAACAATGGAACAACTGCATAATCATCTACCAAACACTTCCACAACTGATAGACATGAAAAGTGATATGAATCTGTAACACCTACACATTCGGGCTAGTCAATAATAAACGTTAGAAATGTTTTTTTTTTATTATCTAGGATAAATAATCTTAACCAAAGTAATAGTTATTGTCAACGATTCCACATATTTCACATAATAAAGAAGAATTATGTGAATATTATGTGTTTCATGATTATTATAATATAAATAGGAAAAATCAGCTGAATCGTCTGTCAATCATAAAAATAAGTGTGCATAACACACACACACACACACACTTAACTTAGTCAAAACCCGCAAAAAACGGAATGTTTATTTGTAAAATAACCTCCTTCAACTTTTTTATAATCATTTGGGGCATCCCGACCCTTAACTTAGTCAAAACCCGCACAAAACGGAAAGTTTATTGGTAAAATAGCTCTTGGAACTGAAACCCTTAGAAGCGAAACCTCTAATAAGCCCCTGGACCGAAGCCCCTCGCATGGACCGAATCACCTAAGAGTCGAAGCCGAAACTACCAAAACCAAAATAAAGCGAAGGACCGAAACTGAACCAAGCGAACCGAGACTCCCTTCAGACCGAACCCTCGCCACCTTCGCGTTCGGTTCCTCCTAACGCTTTGCCTGCGAATCTGTTCGGCCGAATCCCCTCTCGGTTCTCATTCACAACCGAAACTCACCTTTGGTTCTAGGCTTCCCAGAGACTGAACCTTCGGCCCTGAATCCAGATTTTCGCAATTTCACATCTTTTTCCCGGTTTTCGACCACCTTCGCGCTTTAAGCCCGTTTTTTTTCATGATTTTGACGTGGGATTTTCACCCAAACTCATATTTTGACATATAAAACACTATATATTCATAATTTAAACACATTTTAAGGGAAACATTGCCTAAGAATAAAATCTAGTGGGTAAGATATTGAGGTGGAGTGTTGACTTTACCTTTAAGTTATGACACAAGCAATCCTCCACACCCACTCCAAGACCATACCCAGTCACTATTCATCATTACTTAGTCAATTATTTGTCCTTTCACCCTCTTTCTCCAGCATATGAGGGTGATCAAGGGCTGAAAATCTTTACTTCTCCTCCCACATTCCCCACACTTTCACCAAGAAGCAAACCCATTTCTCTCTCTCACTTTCTCTCTCTAAACTCGAATTTGAAGGTTGTTCTTGAGCATTCCCCTCCAAGTTTGGTAAGTAAATTCATCCTACACTTGATTATCTTGCATCCTTTCACTCAAATCATGGATTCCTTACACAAATATCATCATATTTGTTACTAGATCTTCAAATCCTCAAGTATCTCCCAAGTGTTCTTGACTTGGAAACTTCTTTTCCTCATCATCCATTTACTGAAATCAGTCAAGGTGAGTTCATACCCCCCACCTTTTCATGTTTTCTTCAAGTTTTAGGGGGATAATACAAGTTAAATCACCAATAACTTAACAAAACTCAAACATCAGCTTTCCACAGAAAAGTTGAGTTGCATTCACGGGCTGGTTTTACCGACTCAAACTTAAAACCTTTCAAAACTGTTTAATATGCAAATAGTTCAGGTCTATATGAATATTTTCACACCAGTTAGAGGCTTCTAAAAATCATAATAAAATTTATGAACAAACTAGACACATTTTCTAAACTCTCAGAGTTTACGGATTTAGTCTTCAGTTTCGTATGATTTTTCTATGATTTTTCTAAATCAGTGCAAAAATGGTAAAAACAAATTTACAGTTTACAACTTTCATAACACTTTGGAACATGTTGAGCAAAGTGTTAATCCTTGATGACTTCCTATTTTGCATGTGTTTTCTGTTGTGATATAATTATATAACAGGAAAAATGTTCACTAAATTGTAAGAGTGCTTTATTATTACAACTATTACAAGATGAGACATAATAAACATAGTTATGTTTTTGCTATACATTCTAC